AACAGCACTACAGGCTCAGGGATTTGGGAATTCATCAGGGGAAAAGATATGACCACAAGGTGGCAGTAGCACACAATGAGCTCCACTTGGGTGGTGCTTTGAGAGGTTTGCATGGGGAAGGGAGAGGGATGGATGGGAAAGTCTCTCCAACCAGAAAACCTTCAAAAGACAGTGGCATGGGGCCACCACCCAAAAGAGAAAGAAAGCAAAGGAACTCCAGGGGGAGAGAGGAATCAGAAATGAGAGGTTACATGTCTAGGGCATGTTACTCTGCAGCATAAGGGGGAGTCTCCGGGTCAGATAGTTGAAAGGACAGTGATGACTAGGGACTTTTATAATCCTAAGGTTTATCTAAAGCTCTTCATTACAGGACACAATGCACTTCAGACAGATACTGTGGTTTTGACTGACTGCTGACTAGACAAAAGTTTTATTAATGATAATAAGCAATTTTGGTAGTATGAACAAACAACTAAGCTGCCTCATTTAGTCAGAAAATATATCAAATGCCTAAAAAAGAACACATATACATGCAGACAACTTTATGACTCATTGTTGCTATAGGAAAAGTTATATGTGTTTGAGATTTCTTCTATCCAGATAGAATTTTCACAAGTGAGGGCTATATAAATTCTTCAGGCTAGATACTTCTGATCATAAACAAAATGGTATAATAGTTCTACAGCAAGGTTTGGAGTTTTTTTTTTTTTGTCTTTAGCATGAAAATTTTTTTTTAACAATCTAAGTTTATAATTTTTTTAAGCTTTTATTTATTTTGAGAGAACAAAATAAATTTTTGTGCACATGAGCAGGAGAGGTGCAGAGAGAGGGAGAATTTCAAGCAGGCTCCACACTGTCAGCCCAGAGCCCCACGCAGGGCTTGCAGTTGCGAATCATAAGGTCATGACCTGATCTGAAACCAAAGGCTGGACACTCAACCAACTGAAGCGCCCAGGTACCCCGCTAAGAATCCAAGTTTAGAATAGGAACTAATGTCATTTGCTGTGACTACTGTTGATACTATTATGGATGAGCAATAAAAGGACTATGGCAATGCAAAACAAATTTTACAAATATTCTGTGACTTACTGGCAATAGGACTTAATTAACAAAAATATCAATAGGCAGATAATATTAATGGCTGCTGGAGTTAACACAGCATGAGCCTGTCCTCAGATACAGGATTTAGACAATAAGACACAGGCAGCTAACATGGAAATACTATAACATTTTCAAATTAGAGACAGATAATTAGAGACAAATGTGAAACAAAGGAAACCTATTTTATGGAATCTACTGTGTCATAAAACTGATGGTACAATAATTGATTTGCACAGAAAAACTGTTATAAATAGGACTATTAACTAAAAGGATATAACCAGTAAATGACAGTTAACTTTAAGGATGCAATGACCTCGGGGCGCCTGGGTGGCTTAGTCGGTTGAGTGTCCGACTTTCGCTTAGGTCATGATCTCGCGGTTCGTGGGTTCGAGCCCAGCGTCAGGCTCTGTGCTGACTGCCAGCTCAGAGCCTGGAGCTGTTTCAGTCTGTGACTCCCTCTCTCTCTGACCCTCCCCTGCTCATGCTGTCTCTCTCTCTCCTAGAAATAAATAAAAACAAACAAACACAAAATCTATATTAAAAAAAGGATGCAATGACCCCATATTAACACGAGTTATCAGATGAAGTTTAGATCTATGAAAGATTGTGTAAAATTCACGTTCTTGACTTCCTCTAATAAGAGACTTTCGGCAAAGATCTGGCAACTCAAAACTTTTACAAATTATTTAAACTACAATGGCTCCATCATCGCATTGAAACTTTTTTTTCCCTTGGTGTAGAAATCTTGGGAGAGGCTACTCCCTGAGAACTCAACTCTGCAGTCAGAGGTTTTTTATTTTAATTGTGTATCTTTAGTTGAGCACATTATTAGGGACTGGGTCTTGGTAACTAAAGTCACTAGAACCTTCTTCCTCTTACCCAATTCCTGGGAAGTTGACTTCTTCATGAGATTGTTGCTGAGGAGTCTGTCCCAGAGCCAGTAGAGACATACTTGAGGGCCAATTTTAGACATCACAGTTTATTGCTCTCCTTTGGAAGGTACTGGATAAACACAGCTGAAAATTCTTGTTCTTTGGGCTCCCCCTTTCTAGGATATATGTAGACTATACCATCTGCCCTGCCAATTTTTTTTAACTTTAATCATCTTTATTGTCAGATCTGGATACTGCTTCCAAATCTCTACAGCATGTTTTATTCCTTTTCTCTAAGCTCCAACTGCTCCCTGTTTATATATCTCTGTCCCCCATGGTGAAATAAACACTAATTATGTTTCACCATAACTATCTGTTTACCATCTCTTTGCCTGGAACAAAAAGCTCTTTGAGGGCAGGAATCATTTTTAATTGCTGTTCCATACCCAGCTACTGCCTGGTCTGAAATGCTCAAAAAAATACTTGTAAAAGGAATGAATGAATAGTAGACTTTGGCTACTCTCATGTATCCCAACTATTTTTCCTCAGAGAGAGCACTTCACCTGATATGTATGAAAGGCTCCACTTCACACTGTTGAAGGATGCATCCTTCCTAAGGTTAGACATTTTGGGCTGCTTCTCAAACTGGACTTCCTTGACCCTTTGGCCATCTTCCCTGGAACTACGTGGACTACAATGACACAATGGCCCACCAGCCCCAACATCTGTCCCGTACCTCACTATTATAACTATATTCTGAAATTAAATATATCATGGCAAAGGTAGGTTTATGAAAAGGCAACGTATGTCCCTGAATGGACATCTGCCCTTAAAAAGAAAAAAAGGTTCTACTTTTTCATATATTTTTCAGCCCTACGCTGAAAATCAACTTGATTTCATACAAATTAATGAAAACGGAAATGTTTGAACAGGAGGTTAATTACTAGCTACCATGAGCAAATGTAATAGAAGTAATAACAGCTTCTGAAATGCCAGGTAATTGCTGGCAAACAGAAAAGATTGCCTTTGTAATTTGGAGAAGAGAGGAATTGATTTTAACAGGACCATTGGGTTTTCAAAATTCCTACTAAAGAATTCAGCTGTCATCCTTATTATGGAAATTAACTCCACGTCAAAACTAGCTGAGTACTGAATATCAGGCAGAAATGCTGACCAACTAATTTTTAAGCTAAGAAAGTGTTGTATCAGTATGTAAGTCTCCCCAAATACTTTAGACATTAAAGATGTATTTATAATTAAATGTACGATTCATTTCTCAATATATTAACAAACATATAGTTTATGTAAAACATGCAGACGTTTAATATTGACTTAACTTTGAATTCTAATTCTGGTTTTCCTATAACAGCAAAATTAAAACTACACATCTCACAAAAAACGCATAATTTGTGAGAAAGTCTGTTCTATTCTCTCTGCTCCTATTTGTCTAAATCATAAGGCCAAGTTTTTTGTTTAAATTTTTAACGAAAATTGTGTACTTTTTTCAGCTGTATTCTAAGGCAGCACAATAAAATCAGAAGCCACTTATCACTTTCCTTTGCCACGTTTAACAAAGTGGAAATCGAGGATGGTAAGATGTAATGATAATAATAATATTTCGTATGTATTAAAGCAGAATTAGGCTGCAGCTACTCACATGAGAAAAGGTAGGGGGAAAGGACTATGAAAGTAATTTGAGGATCCCACCTTGTTACAAGGTATTTTCTTTTTCTAAAGGCAGTTTTCAGACCCAAGACACCCGAGAGGCACTAGACACATTTGTAGTCTGTCTTCTTGTCCTGACTCGATTAAGGTCCCCTACACCCAACTTCAAAGAGCTACCTCTGAAGAAGCCTAGCGCTACCCTTTCCCTGCTCAAGCTCCAGTCTCAGAAGAGAGGATCAAAACCACAGGCCGCCACAACCAACACTGCACTAGCTCCTTTGTTTAGGAAAAAAGGAGTGAGGGTTTCAGTCAATTCCCTCCAAGAAACCAGATCAGAAGGGGCACACCTACGGTCAGGTCACGTGAGTTCAGGGAACTCTGGAACCCGCCAAAGCAACCAAGGTTCTAAGCAAGACTTGCTCCCGACTCCCTCCCAGACACAATTTACCACTTGGGGTCTTCAGCGTCCCCAGAAATCGCGCAAGAGGGCAGAAAGGCCCTTTTCCTCCATCAGGCAGAGGCACCTTGCAAAGCGGAGCATTTGCTCCGCTCGTCTCTTGCCACAGCCAAGATGTTACCAGGGAGCCTGCGCTGCCTTCATTTTCAAAGGCACAAGGAATTCCAGGGTTCAAGGGGATTGCTGCCTCCGACGGACAGTCGGTGATGAACGTGATTAAAACCAGTTTCATCCTAAGCAGGAGCCGTTTCCGGGCTCCTCCTGCACTGATTTCCAAGAGGCTTCGCAACTTCCTCCACAGCTGACTGGAGAAAATGCTTTCGTTGGCACTTTCTGTAGCATACTTCAATTTTCCCATTAAAATAATGCATACCCAGCCCGCTAATGAAAACCACTTGAAAAAAAATTTTTTTTGGTAAGATGAACAATCATTTCCGTTCAAAGTAAGAGAGGAGGAGGTAACTAACCATTTCGTAAAGCGGCCATTTAAATGGCCTCTGGGGGTCTGCTTTAGAAATTGGGGGGACGCGTGTTTAAAATAAAACAAAAAGCAGTAACACTACGCAATTCGTGCTTGCGTGTACACACACATTTATAAAATAAAAGTTTATTTTACCTGTTGCGCCAGTTGCCAGTCACCTCTGCTGGGTGCCAGAGCTCCCAGGGTCCAGGGACCCCCTCCCCCTCCCCCCATGTAGGGCCCTCTGTTTTCGGGCTACCTGGCCATGGGCCTCCAGTTCCAGGGATTTCTCTCCCCACGTGCCCAGGCCACGTGCCCAGCCCCCACTTCCTCGCCTCTCTCAACGGCCCAGGCCCCGGTGCTGCCACCTGTGTTCCTTCCTCTTCCTGGGCCGCTAACTCGACGTTCCTAGACCAGCTTCGCGCCGCGCCTGCCCCACGGAACCCGCCCGGGAGCCCCTCCGCTGGGGGGCTGCGAGCACCCTTCGCGAACCTAAAACCCCAACCTCTCCCGCCCTGCTGTGCCTCATGCACCGCAACCGGGCCGGCCCGCTGCGGCCTCTGGTGCACAAGGATCCAGAATGACCGAAGGCAGGCCGCCGCCATGGATTAGGAGGCCCCGGCGCACGCCTGGGGCCAGCCCGCCGCTTCTCGGCCTCTCTCTGGGAGGAAGTGTAGGTGTGTGAGCGGGGGACGCGGAGCGAGCGGGCGGGCGCGGCCTGGGCGCCGCGGCCTGCGCACCCCCGAGGGCCCCGCGTCGCTCTCCCGAGCCAAGGTTCTCAGGAGCGGGCCGGGGAAAAGACGTTGGCGGGGGGAGTTAGCGGCTGTTGGAAGAACGGGCTCACGGAAACAGTCCCTTCCACGGCCCCGGCCATCGCGGGGCGGGCCGCCTTCCTCCCTCCCGGCCCGGGGTCGCCCGCCCGAAGGGGCGCGTGTGCCGACGGCGACCGCCTGCCCCAGCACGCCCGGGCAGGGCGGCGCCGGGGCCGCAGCCCGTTAGCCCCGCCCGGCCCTGAACGCCCGGGCGTCGCGGGGCATCTGCCCAGAGCGCGTCAGGTGAGGGGGTCGTCATGGCGATGGGGGCCCGGAGCGCGCACGCCCGCTGCGGTTGGCATGGGAGCGGCCCCCGCGAGGCCCGGGAGCGCTGCTGATTGGCCGATTCAACAGACGCGGGGGGGGGGGGAGTTGAAAGTAATTAGCGCTGAGCGCCGGGGCCGCCGCCTCTGGGAGTTTTGCGCCCCCGCTGGAATCTATTAACACCTCCGTCCCCTTCCGCCCCCGCCCCGCCCCCGCCCCGCCCCCTCCAGCGGCCCCTCTTTCCCAATCCTCGTGTGCACTTGCTAATTGTTCGAGATTTCTATAAAGATACAAAGCTGAGAAGAGCGAGGCTCGCTGTGGGTTCCAAGCAGGTTTTGGGGTCCTCTATCTGGTGGAAGGAGGGCCGCGGAGGAGAGCCCTGCTTGTCCTTTGAGAAGAGGACTTATTTCCCGCAGTGATGTATCCTGGGCCTTTTGTTTGCAGGGAGGTGGGGGGGGGGGCGGGGGGCGGTCAGGAAAGACTCGAGCTTGTAGTTTCAGACTCTCGATTAACGCGGGGCTTAGTGTCCTGGCGCGGAGGCCTGTCGTGATTCGTCTCTCGCTCCAGCCGTCACACCAGGGCTTGGAAGAAAGCCTCGAGAGACTCAAGTCACTGCTCAAAGCAGCTTTGATCATGGCTCATGCCCTTCCTTTCGGCCCCAATAATTGCAGGGAAAGTCATATATCTTAGTGCTCTCCCTCCTAGACATTCACTACATGCTTGAAGCCCGTGGTGGAAGAGCTTACTAACTGTTGGCTTGTCTGTTTCTCCTCCGATAGCTGCATCCTGTGGAGACTGAGGGTATGCATCGCAGCGGCTCCCAGAGCCAAGTAACTCTGGCTCCGGTGCCTGGAGGTCCTGATGGGTGTCAGATGATAAGCAGAGCCCACCTCGGCCAGGATCCCCCCCAAAGAACAGTGCTAGGGGTGCTAACTGAGAATGGGCAGTACAGGCGGTTCTGTGGCCAGGTAATGACTGAGAACTGCGGCGGAACCTGGTTGTTGAGAAGGGCTATTACATCATGGGGGGAGGTGGGTTTCTCTTGCAATTTTACCAACAAATACCCATGAGTATTCCAGCCCTGAGATCTGGACGGTAAGGGATATTGATTCTGTTAAAGATTATTTTGGGCGCGCCGGGGTGGCTCAGTCGGTTGAGCCTCCGACTTCGGCTCAGGTCATGATCTCACAGTTGGTGGGTTCGAGCCCCCGGCGGGCTCTGTGCTGACAGCTCAGAGCCTGGAGCCTGTTTCAGACTCTGTGTCTCCCTCTCTCTCTCTCTCTCTCTGACCCTCCCCTGCTCACGCTGTCTCTCTCTCTCTCTCTCTCTCTCTCTCAGAAATAAACAAAAAACATTTTAAAAAATTTATTAAAAAAAAGATCACTTTGGTCCCCTTTCCAGCTAGAAATAGTGAATTATTTTATTATTTTTCCAATATCAAGGAGATAGGTCTAGGAACTGTTCAAATCTTGTAAGTATATGTAAAGCCACTTAAGCACTGGGTTAAGAGGAAATATTGATGCATCAAAATAGATTATGGGACTGGCGTTCCTCCAGATCAGAGTGGTGTTCAGGCTGATCTAGGTTGTGCCTGAGCAATTTGAAAAAATCTTTGCTGTGTTTATTGGAGATGGTGTTAGAATCCGGATTGGATAAGGCTAGGCTAAATTACTTCAAAAAGTGTGCTCTGCGGTCTGCATCCTGCTGTATGGCTTATGTGTCCCTGATCTTATGCAAGGTGACACCCCACCCCCCCAATGTGCAGTAAACCTTAGGATGTCACTCTTCTTTCTCTCCTCAGTCTTGTCTACTAGGTTAAGCTCAAGCATACAAGTATATTGTAATTTTTTTCCATCTTAAAAACCTTTCAACTTCACAGCTCTTTGCAGTGACTACTCATTTTATAGCAATAATTCTTGACAGTTTGTCTATCCTGCCAGGCTATAAAGTCCATCAGGATGAGAATTGGGATATCAGGTTCACTGCTGTATTCTCAGTGCTTAGAACCATGCCTGACCAGGGTAGGCGGCAAGTATTTGTTGAATGAATACTCTCTCTCTCTCTAATTTTTCTCTTGTTCTCTTTTGATTCAGTTTTTAGGCCTGTCCTTACTTGAGTTATCTGGCAACATTTGACATAGTTGATTTTTCTTTATTTCTTGAAATAATTTCTTCTCACTCAGCCCGGGGAACACTACTCCCTCCTGGTTGTCCCCCTAGGTCATTGGCCTATCAGCCTCAATATCCTGTTTCTTCCTTATCCAATCTCTAAAAGAATGCTCAGGGCTTGGTATTTGATCTGAATCTCCACTCACTCCCTTAGCAATCTCTCAAGCCTCCTAGCATTAAATACCATCTATCTGTGATGACTTACACTTTTGTCTCTAGCCTGGACCTCTTAGCTATATTATAGGCTCACGTATTCAGCAGTCTACTTGACATCTTCCCTTAGATCATATAATAGACATCTCAAATTTGTGCAAGACCTCACACTAACGCTAGCCCCAAATAACTGTTCCCAAAGTCTTCCTCATCTCAGTGAATGGAATATCCATCTTTCTTAATATTCAGCCCCAAAACCTTTGTCATCCTTGACTCTTTTTCTCCCTCCTCACATCAAATTTTCTGAGAAAATTTCTGAAATTTTTCACAGAAAAATTTTCTGGCTCTCCTTTTTAAAACATCTGGAATCTCTACCTCTTAGTCTTTACTGCTGTTATACTGGTTCCGATCCCGATTGTGTCTCACTGAGAATTTGCAAGTTTCATAAGTGGTCATCTTACTCATCTTGCTTGCTCTCTATACATATACACAGCCAGGGTGATCGTATTAAGACATAGATCATACCACTCCTCTGCCCAATGGCTTCTCTAGTGGCTTCCCACTTCTGAGTAGTAGAGGTCTTAAATGGTCTGTGGTAAGGCCTACCTGATCTGGCTTCTCTTTTCTTTCTGACTTTGTGACCTACACTACTCTCCTTCTCACTCTGCCCTATCTGCTCTTTGCTGTGTCTCGAAGACACACTTGAACATCCGGGCGTTTACCCATGCTGTTCCCTCTGCTCAGAATGCACTTCCGCCCTCCATTTCTGTGACTTACTCCCTTACCTCATTCATATCTTTGCTCAACTCCCTCCTCTTCATTAGGGCCCTCCCTGACCACACTGTTTAAAATGGCAAGGAGTCTCTTTTCCCTGTGTTCTTCGCCTCCAAAGCACTTAACACCAGCCAGTGTAATAGGTCCTGTCTTTCCCCATCCTCTGGGCTAGAATATGAACTCCATGAGGAGAACCCTTCTTGAACGTTTTGTTCACTGCTAAATTCTGGGCACATAGAACAGTGTCTGGTACATAGTATATGATCAGTAAATATTTATTTAATGAATATATGTCTCATCCCACATACATATATCTTTGGAGCAAAACTCAAACTTGGTAGTAACTTGGAGTCATGATTCTAGTAACTTATGATTTTGGTCCTTTATATATTCCGCTGTTGTTGTCGTTTTTTCTAGTACTACCTTAAGGAGTCTTTTTTTTTTTTTTCCTCACTAGACATAAATAAGTCAGGTATTTAATTTGGAGATATAAGGGAAAGTTATGGAAAACACATACTAACTTGAAAGTAACCTCAAAAGGAAACACCAAGATTAGTTATAAATAGGTCTAGCTACTGTATTTACATTTTACTAACATTTGCATAAATATAACTCAGATTCATAAACCTTGGCCACCTACCTTGGTTCAGCTGACCTTCAGGCCTAACATGACTCACCGTAATGTGCTTGTTCATTGGAGGGGTCACACACTAGTGCTACAGGGATAAAGAAAAGGGAGAAGTGATTGAGAGAGAGATTTCCCCAGGGTAATTATGTTATGTCATACAAAAGATTCTATGGCTTTGTAAGAGAAGTTAGTAGTATAAGTTTCTAAAATGATCATGTGTGTTTTTGTTTTTGTTTTTGTTTTTTTTTTAATTTTTAAGGTTTTTATTTATTTCTAGGAGAGAGAGACAGCGTGAGCAGGGGAGGGTCAGAGAGAGAGGGAGTCACAGACGGAAACAGGCTCCAGCCTCTGAGCTGGCAGTCAGCACAGAGCCCGACGCGGGGCTCGAACCCACGAACCGCGAGATCATGACCTAAGCGAAAGTCGGACGCTTAACAGACTAAGCCACCCAGGCGCCCCTAAAATGATCATGTTTCTAAATAATGGAGTATAAAATGGAAACTTTAGAGGAGCTTACTGACTAAAGGCTATTTAAGGAGGAAAACTACAGGAACTCATTGACTGTGTTGAGAGCTTTGCTGGGTACTTATGAACTCCTGTAAGGCTACAAGTATGAAAGGCAATTAACAAACCCCTTCTTCCCCCTGCAATACCTATATCATTTTGGAGGAAACCTATGCTTTCTCTTTTTTCTACAATCTTGAGTCCCCTTTGATAAATACATGAGGAAGATGACAGATTACAGGTAGCTCTTTTCCCAAATGTCAGATGTAGACAAAGATAAGGGAGAAGTCATAACTTCATTTTCTGAAATTAAATTGCAGACCTAGATATTTAAGCCTCCTCTCATCTTCCCAGCCTCCTGGTTTGAGTCACCCAGGCTTACATCACCTATACAATCTTGGGGTTGACCTCTAACAAAAAACTTAATGCTCTTCTAGGGGATTACAACAATCAGGTGTTTATCTGGATCAGAAAATGTCTTTCCTCCAGCTGGTAAGAAAGTGCTCACTGACTACGGGGTCCAAGTGCCAGCCAAGCAAGGATTTGATATCTACATGGATGAGCCTGAGCAGGGAGACAGAGACAGCTGCACAGGGAGAGATGGGATGGCATTTGAGGAGGTGTATGAGGTAGACACCAGCACACTCAAGTCAGACCTTCACTTCCTGCTGGATTTTAGCACAGGTAATCTGACTCACCTACGGCTGATGGTACCCTATGTTCGTAATTGCCTACAGCATTCGATAGTATGTAACTAGCAGGAGAAACCTGTGAAGTAATGACTTATTTTCACAGCTGCCTGGGGAGGGTTAGTGGTTGGGATGAATTTTTAAATTCAATGTCTTACTTGATAATGTTGAACCCCCACAGTTTCCCCTATGCTGGTAGACCCATCTCTCCATCCCCAGTCTGACGGTGCATCAGATTTTGGTACAGATGTGATAAATGTGACTGAATATGCTGACGAAATTCATCAGTACCTTAGAGAAGCTGAAGTGAGTTTTCCCAAATTCGATTTCAATTTCTAGCATCCCAAACATTTAATAATAAGATAGTTATAAACTCTTGGCCATAACCAAGAGCATTCTTACGGCATCTAAACATTGGAAAATCTATGAAAAATAAAGTTGTGAGGCAAGTAGCAACTACTTGGACTATTTCTCCATGACTCAGAGGGTTTGTACATGAAGTATTTCACTCTTAGGAATAAGCCATATTAGTATTTCCACCCCTCCTTTAAGTTATTTGTTACCTAATTGCATTTTATACTTTCTTCCATAGTAAACATTTATTTGGCTCTTGATTGGTTTCTTCCTAGCCTTTGCTCACAAGATTCTTTTTTTAAATAGCCACTGTACTGTGGAGTGATCTTTATGATAGAGCAACAACGGGTTAAGTATCAAAACTCTTTTTCCACACAGATAAGACACAGGCCCAAAGCACACTACATGAGGAAGCAGCCAGACATCACAGAAGGCATGCGAACAATTCTGGTGGACTGGCTGGTTGAGGTCGGCGAAGAGTATAAGCTTCGAGCAGAGACTCTCTACCTGGCCGTGAACTTCTTGGACAGGTTTCTTTCCTGCATGTCTGTTTTGAGAGGGAAATTACAGCTTGTAGGAACCGCAGCGATTCTTCTAGCTTCGTAAGTGTTCTTTCAGCTTAAATAATGTAAGACTGTAGCCTGTCAAAACACTTGATTTTCATTTCCTTTTATTCAAGAAATGCAGTGCTTGATAGCTAATGCTTATTCATACCTCCCCTGATAAAATATCATCATTTGTACGGTATTTACTGAGAAACTGAATCTTAACACACTTTCACTCTTCAATTCAAATATTTAAGATTTATAGCAACAAGTTCAGTGTCGTGACTGAAGCAGCCATGAGCTCAATTCAGGATCCAGTTTAACTTTTGCAGTATGGTCTTTTGACTACATTCTAATACAAAAAGATTTTGGTTATGGAAAAACCATCTTCGCGACCTAGCAAATGACTAGTAATAGCACAGTTTATTCGGTTACATATGAATAAATGATTTCAGCTCATCCTTGATACTATCAATCATTCATAACAGTACCTCACTGTGTACAAAAAAGAGCTGGCTTGTGGCTGAGCTGCCTTTAATTAGGTGACCTGTGGTGGATTATAGTTCATTCTTTTTGTCTCAGATATTCTAGTTAATAATGCCTAGAAACTTGCCAAAATTCCCCTCCAGAAAGAGAAACAAAAGCAAAAGTTGGTAATAATGAAATTATATCATTATTTTATGATACAGAGCCTCACTTGCTAATTCATTAGGGAGTTCTGAACATGATCTTTTTAAAGAAATTAAGATCTAAGGAATTTTTGCTCAACCACTGTGTGCAACTTAACCTTCTTTCCCACAAGATGAGTGAGTGAGGTCTCTGGAATTAAGAGGACTTTATCTGTGTGTCTGTCATTCAGAATCTTTCAGCAAATCAGAGGCCAACACCTAAAATCCTCAGTTGGAAATGGTTTCTGTTACTGTTCCTAGCAGTACAACATAGCCTTGTAATATTCATATTCCGGTTCTGGCACCAAGCTCCTAATATTGTCCCGGCCAGGACCATTTAGTGATACTTAAGTGGATATGTGGATAAAACCTAAAGAAGTCTGCGAGGGCCACACAAGAGGCATGGTTGTGATAGCACAGGTTCCAAGCTTTACTCCCCAAAACTCTTTACCTTTCACAGGAAATATGAAGAAATATATCCACCTGAAGTAGACGAGTTTGTGCATATAACTGATGACACTTACACAAAACGACAGCTGTTAAGAATGGAACACCTGCTCCTGAAAGTCCTGACTTTTGATCTGACAGTGCCAACTACCAACCAGTTTCTCCTCCAGTACTTACGGAGACAAGTAGTGTGCATCAGGACTGAGAACCTGGCCAAGGTAGGCCACGTGACTGCCGGGAACTTGGGAGCCAAGGAGAGGAAGAAGTAGTCTTTCCCAGTCATCCCTCAGTTCTCCCTTCCTTTTCAGTTCTTTGTCTTGGGCTCAGAAAAAAACTTGAGTGATGGAAGGGGGCTAATCTTAGAACCATGATTTATGGTTATGAGACATGACAGTTGATCACGGTTGGTAGTCACGGATTGTCTACTCACCCAGCTCTTAAAGAAATTTAGTTTGGAAGCTGTCCCCTTGTCGGATACAGACCACACGTGAGCAGTACCTCTTCTTAGGTTCACAGAATGGGACCAAAGTAAATGTGGTGTGATTTGGCTCTAATTTTATCCTAACGTATTAAGTAGCGAAGCATTATTTGGTCGTCTGAGCTTGTAGTACTTGAGTTGAAGGCACTGACGTATTGATTTGGAAAACTTGGTTCTAACCACGATGAGCTAGTATATCCGGTATGTATATGCTACGCAAAAAGTAATACGGATATATGTATAAATTTCCCAGTATGTTCCTTCTAATCTAACAAGTTCTCACAGGTACTGTTCTAGCCTCTGAACTGAATGCATTTGCCTGACAAATTAATAGCTTCAGTATGGTCATATTTTTGCCATCGGCCAAAGACTCTTCCACACCAGTGGCCAGAACAGTGCTACTTTACCTGACTAGCATAAGTCTGTAGTACTAGTATAAGATAAGTTAACCTATCATATATACTGTGCAAGTGGACCAAATACTTGTATACTGATATTTACTACAACATAAATGTTACTCTGGTTATGGACAGACATAGCAATTATTAACCCAGTAAATAATTTTGAGCATCTGTTTCTATCTACTTATCATTAGATATGGAAGATGAACAAAGAGAAGACAGTTTTTTTTCCCTTGACATTTCTAGGTTTACTTTTAACCTTAGTCAGATTTCTAATTCCACTGAGATTTTCTCTTTGTGCTTAGTACGTAGCAGAACTGAGTCTACTTGAAGCTGACCCATTCTTGAAATATCTTCCTTCATTGATTGCTGCAGCAGCTTATTGCCTGGCAAACTATACTGTGAACAGGCACTTGTGGGTAAGATTCTACTTCTTTCTAGATGAGATTCAAGGCCCATGTAAGAATCTGTTCAGTAACTCCCAAGGCTTAGAATGAGGAAGAGCTAGTTTAACAAGGAGCTGGTTGTCTGGCCAGCAGATTACAACATGCCACTGAGTCTTGCAGGTCAGCCTTTATGCCTTTGACTCAGTGACTCGGAGTAGAGATTGCAGGAAGTCAAGGAGACGGTGTTGGCATGCTTATTCAAAAGAAGCAGGCCTGGAAACTGCAAAATGCCCATCTCATGCAAGGTGAGCAAAAATTGTTGACTTTTCCCCTCGGTGTGCAAAACAAGCTGGATCCGCTTAGGATGAGCAGAAGATCGCAGCAAGTTTTCAAGGAAACAGAGCAGGCAGTATTGCCTCTTGGTCCAAGAGGCAAGATTGAAAATGGACCCCTTGAGGGGCACCTGGGTGGCTCAGTCGGTTGAGTGTCCAACTTGGCTCAGGTCATGATCTTATGGTTGTGAGTTCGAGCCCCGCATCGGGCTCTGTGCTGACTGACAGCTCAGAGCCTGGAGTCTGCTTTGGATCCTGTGTCCCCCTCTCTCTCTGCCCCTCCCCCACTCATGCTCTGTCTCTCAAAAATAAACGTTTAAAAAAATTAAAAAAAAGAAAAAAAGAAAATGGACCCCTTGATTTGCTTCTGAAGGCTCACTTTTGTGCTAAAAGAAGTGGGGGATCTACTTTTACTTTCTAGAATACTTATTTACTATCCTGCATTTCACTAAGAATCTTTCATATTCTATGTAAATACGGTGTTGGTAAGTAGAGGTTCTTTAGGGACCAGTAAAAACCCTGCTCATGAGGGAAGAGGAAAAGTAACCTGCCCCAAACTGAGCATTTTAAATATACAGTGTGAGCAAATTGAGAACTCTGGCCGTTCTTCCTAATATTTTACTTCTCAAGTCACTGAAGGAGGATTACAGTTTCTTTTGAGATGAATGTGGATACTTCCTAAGTGATTAATTTCCTTTATTTCATAGTTTAATCTTCAGCTGTCTGATAATCCTATGAAGTTATATGATGCAGTTTTTTTCTTTTGTCTTGATTAGCCAGAAACCCTGGCTGCATTTACAGGTTATTCGTTAAATGAAATTGTGCCTTGCCTGAGTGAGCTGCATAAAGCATGCCTTGATATACCCCATCGACCTCAGCAAGCAATTAGGGAGAAGTATAAGGCTTCAAAGTAAGTTTCGGAAATTTTCTTATCTAGGCTTACTAATTTAAAGCTTTAAGAGGTTATAGGAATGTCAGAATTAAAAATAGAACAAGTCAGATCTATGGTACTAGGCTGGCATGTTAAATCAAGGAAATCAGAGGCCCAGATATATAATTTGCCAGGGTGTTGTAGATGCAGTCAGGGAGCTTTCTTCCTTTCTGTTGAAACTACTGGAAAGTTTTCTGTGGCCCGAAATTTTACAACACTGAAGTCCTTTGGGTCTCGTTTCAGGTACATGCATGTGTCTCTCATGGAACCGCCTGCAATTCTCGCTCTGCAATAAGTTTCCTACTGAAGCACTTTCAGAACTTAACCTCCAGATCAACAGAATACGTCTTAACTTTTATAGGTTCCTGTAGTGTTGCTACAATATTGACATGTTTTTAAAAACGTAAATGTATTTAGGTTCTCTTAGACTTTGGTAGCTTGACTATCAGCTAATATTTTATAAAGAATAAACAAACAACTTGCCTTATGATCACGTGTTAGACTCATTTACTAATTAGGATGGTTCATGTGCTTGCCTGGAGTTTTAGTGGGGGGGCATTCTCCATGTCACTTTTATTTCAAGGGTTCTCCTAAGCTGGGTTCATAAACCCGGCCTCCTGTTAGGATTAAATGTTCTGAGGAATTCAGAGATTTTCGTGTTTGGTAAATGGCTACCCCGAGAGTTTTTCCTTCCTATCTCTTTACTTTTCACATAGATCTCCATAAATGGGCAAGGGAAGGAACTCCAAGCTCAGACAGTTGAGTGAAGGGATATAAACGGGCACTGTCTCTGCCAGCTTCCCTCATGGGCCCTACGGAGTAAAGCCAGTGAGTTGAGGGCTGAGTGTGGTCAGGTACCTCTGAGGGGTGATTTACATTTAATTCTAATGCAGGGATGTAACACTCATTTTGTAGATTATGTCCATGTTCGGTTTTGATTTAGTCACCCATCAAGCATATAGTTCAGCTTAGAAGATGCTCAGAGAGGTAGAAAAAGGAAATTTCACAACAGGGTGGGACTTCAGAATAATGACGCTGACGCCTCTTCCTTGTCCCTCGGGAGAAGTCTGTGCTAAGCTCCGCCATGGCTCTAGTTATCCTACGCTCACTGCACATCCCTCTCTGGCCCCATGCGACGGCACTCCCACAGTGTGCTCGGGGAGGAAACCTGCAAAAACAGCCAACCAACCAAAGATGTGTTGCAACTTTCTTTTAAAGATGGGAAGGAAAACCAAGAGCACACTTGACCTGATGCAGGCTGGTACTTAATTGGGGATTGAATGTAACTTTGATAAATGTCAAACCAGTAGGCCCTGGAGGCACTTGAGCTTTCTGTGCTATGTGCCCTGCTCCCCCATCCCCCATCTCTAGGCTGTCCCTGGGCTCAGTCCAGATGGTTCTGTGGAGGCAAGAAGGAAGGGAAACTTCTGCTTTCTGGATCCCTTTACATAGAAAAGATTAGACCCAGATATGTTTTGGTAAAATGGTAGTAGATGAAATTAACTCCAAATACTACTTTTTTCAAGCTCTAATGAAATCATTAATACAGAAATACAGCCATATTTTACATATTTTGTGAAGACTTTTTTTTTAAGTACCCACAAACTCTAAGAAGGTTTTAGCATTGCCTTCTTTTCCCTCTGCAGATAGACATTCTGACATTCTCCAGGTCTCTCCATGTCGGGTTCCACCGAAGAAATCCACACTTCTCTAAGTATTCTGTGATTTATTTTGCATGAGTTTCACTAAGGGGGTACGGGACCTGTATCACTACTGAGCTCTCTGTTTTCATGTTCTATAATCAGCAATATGTGATGTCACGTTCTAACTTATGACCGGGTACCTTTCTGTTCACTGCATAGATGCTCTGACCCTTCCGCGTACTCTGTGGACTTGGCGGCATAACAGACATGCAATGTCAAGTGTGCCATAATAAGGCCTGCTCCGGAGGGGACAGTGGAAGAGGCCAATTCCGGCTAAGGCTTTTGTGGCAGAAGTGCCGTGTTTGTCCCTTTCGGGCCTTAAAATTTGCGGGCCTGGCCAGGGAAGCTTCCTCTCATTCTCTGCCAGTTTCCATGGGCTAACCCGCTCCCTGGGAAACACGCCTGTCTCTAACTGCGGCAATGTGGAATCCTGACAAATCAACATGTTCTTTCACTAGCGATATTCTTGTCCTCGAATGTGTTGCTTCTGCCAGAGGAGACCTGAGAAATAGGCCTTCGTTACGAATTATTTTACAAAGGAGGATTTTGTTGCTAACCTGGATCCAAAATTTAACCCTGACTTTGGGTCACAAAACCACACCATGGGACATAGAGGTCTGAACCCATAATTTTTAAAAAAATTTTTTAATGTTTACTTATTTCTAAGAGAGAGAGACAGCATGAGCAGGGGAGGGTCAGAGAGAGAGGGAGATACAGAATCTGAAACAGGCTCCAGGCTCTGAGCTAGCTGTCAGCACAGAGCCTGACGCGGGGCTCAAACCCACGGACCGTGAGATCATGACCTGAGCTGAAGTCAGACGCTGAACCGACTGAGCCACCCAGGTGCCCCTGAACCCATAATTCTTGTGTTCTTTGCTGCCAGCGATTTGCACACACTTATTCCCGGCCCCCAACACACACACACACACACACACACACACACACACACACACACCCCAATTGCAAAGAACTCATTCTCAGCTTTAAGTTGCTTGTCTTACTACTTTTTTGTGTCCCTGAAATACTTTATTTAAAACTAGAATACAACTAAAAAAAAATAAAATAAAATAAAACTAGAATACAACTGTCGCCTGTAGACCACTCAGCCAGCCTAGAGAGAGAAGCAGCCTTCATTCACTGTGTCCCTCCTTTCATCCCATTCTTTTTCTTCCCTCGATTTGGTGTTGGTCACACAGGGTTTTTGTACTTCACAAGAATGTATACATAAACAATAATCCTTTTAAAATTTAATGGTTGTTGACTATCTTGCATATTCTTCAGTGATACGTGTTTTAGGCCGCTCTGTATTTTGATGTTATCTGTAGAATACTAGTTATTTATATACCGTTGTGGAACGTACAACGAATATACCATGGGTTTATCTGTTCTCTTGGTTTTCCCCCATCTTTCTCCCTGCCCTACCCCACCCACTACTTGCCAGCCAGTGAAGGAAATTGGTCAGGACAGGGCTTTTGGAAGTGTGAGTGTCACACCTATCTGTCTCTGTGGTCCTTTGGCCTGTGGCTTCAGGCCTTTCCCACAAAAGGAGGGGCCCTTGTTGAAGTGGGCCGTGAGAAAGGACAATGGGAACCACATCTGCCCACCCATTATCAGGAGCCCAAGAAGGAAATCGAATATACACAAGCTGCTCTGGTGTTTGTGTCATCCCAGTAACCTGTCCCAGCGGAGAGTTAAAACCTCTAGATCTGATTTAGCACTAAAATCTTGGAATTGAAACCCACACTGTTTGGCCGAGAGTGCCCTTGCCTAGATACTGTCAGGCTTTCTGTTTCGTGTGTCCAGATTGAGGGGATGGGACATACTCCTTGGGGCTCATGGCTCGGACCCCATTTAGCTTCCTGCAAGGCCCAGCATGCAAACCCCACGGTTTGCTCCGTTACAGTTTTACCTCAGGGAGGACTTTCCCTTAGAAATAATAAACAGCTTTTGTTAGTGATTGTGGACTTGACGGTATTCTTAAAATAACAGAATGGCCAACGCAATGATGGAGGAGGCAGAGGTGGAAAGGCATGAAGGCAAGAGACTATGGATGGAGACCGTAGGTAACACAGAGAAGTTAAAACAAGTCAAGCCAGGATCTGTGGATGGAATATCTGTCCTGAGGATGAAGCTTACCGAGGCAGCTAGTTGACTGAGCCCAGGTCCTATTCACCTTGTGGGCTAGGTGTTCACCCGGGCTCCACATGTTGGCTTCTCCTTAGTTCCTTCCCCCCTTCACTCGTCTCCTTCACTGACTAGGTTTCCTGCTTACATCGGTCAAGATATTATTATCATCCGTTTATTTGCTACCTTTAAACTTGATCAACCAGGTGACTGGTGTGGCTATTCACACACTGCAGTGAACACAGTGGAATGTTGGCTGGTTACCATTTAGTTTCAGCCGCAGGCTACAAATATGTAAATATTCCCAACTGATTCATAATCATATTAACTTTTTGTCCTACATGTCCCACCTTCCCCCACGGCTGATCTTCACATTGACTGCTCTTTCCCTGCAGCATCGAGTTCCCTGCAGAGGCATCCTCCACTGGAACATCCATGCCGACCTCCCATCTTTTATGCCCAGGGCATGGACTGTCACATTCCAAGACACCCAACTTTTCCCGCCACTGGTTGGTAGGCAAAGGGAGAAAGATACTGAAAGCTGCAACCTCAGCAGGGAATCTGCTGTTAGACTGCAGTTGTTATATACATGCCCACGGCCCTGTGGGATACCTTTTAATCGCACGGCCAGTGCATATATAGTACATAAAGCTGAGAACAGCTGAGCTCCCTCTGGTAAAGCCCAGACTCAGCTCACGGAGACAGTGGGTTGGGACATGTTTGTTATTATATTTGAACCCCACAGTGGAAGCCTGGGTTCTAGAACCTCCAGCTGCAGGAGCTGTGTCTATCTTCTGTACCCCCTTGTTTCTCCAAGCAGCCGATGCTTGTGTTACAGACCCCAAAATAAAAGGAGAGTGCTTTCGGGGTCCCTGCTCTGCTGCAGCAGCCCCACATCAAACTGGAGATAAGCGGTCAGAGAAACGTCTGGAACAGGTGTTAGAGAGAGGGAATGGGCTGGCTGGGGCTTAACGGTCTAAGCTTAACCTACACGGAAGGGGTTTCTCTCCTCAGTTTAATCAACAGTGAGAGAGAACTACACCCAGATACCAATTTGTGGAGTTGAGTATGTCAGTCTTTAAGACAACTTGTTTCAAACTTTTGTCATCTAAAAATGTGCTTTTATTCTTTTATAAGAATTGAAACTAGGAGGCAGATAAACGCAGTGAAAGGCCAGTACTGCCTTTCTCTTTCCACCTAGGAATTTGTCCTTCACAAAGACCCTTAGGAGACCGGGGTCCTAATTCCAACTTGGCTATTCACTGAGTGACGCTGACGGTACTGGGTAAGTTGATTGCTTTAACCGCCCCCAAACCTGTGCGGCTCACCACGTTGAAGCTTTGTCTCTCCTGTTACTTTCCAGTGTGTATGAGGCAAAAGGGGGCTTTTGTTTTCACATGAAAACATGTGAAAACAACTCCATCCCTCCCCTGGAGTCCCCCACTGAATTCTTGTTTTCAGCAGGTGAGAGAAGAGAAGAAACATGGAGAAAACACACCTACTCTTACTGCCAAGGCCTAAGAGAGGTAATTGAACTGTAAGTGCTGGGAGAAGGGCATTCAGGGTGGATAAACAATCCTTCAGTTGCCGGTGGGCATTTTACTCAGTGTCCTGACTTTAATCCCTTCATGAACTCAGAGCTTGATCGGATCAGTCTTTGTCG